GTCAACTCATTGCAATACTGAAAGGGTATGAACTTCAAAACCCTCTTCCAGGTTAGAATTCCAATTTACTATTTTGAGTTTAAATTTAAGAGGCTCTTCAAGGTGCAGTTAATGACAGGGTGCCACTACTGATGGTACAGTGCATTAATTAGGCCACCTGTAGTCTGTCATACTATGAATACAAAGTAAGGAGGCCGAGAGAGTGAAGACTGTGACTTAAAAATTGCAAGCCAAAGGGGGTTGAAGTACGGCTATTTGTTTGAACATCTGCCCTGATTAAACTTCCCAGGATTTTTTTATTTTTAAATCTAGAAGCCTGGCGCACGATCACCAGAAAATGTGCCAGCTGTGCTGACAGTAATGTTTGTTGGAGTTAAAATCTCAACGCTAAATTGCGATACGGTCATCAAAATCGATATACCGGTACTTGTACATGGCCCTTCACTGCCATGGCAGCCACCAATGTTATTCGAATGCCAGTGAGCAGGGGAAGAAGTGAAACATGTCGCTGACCTCTACTTGTACTGCTGTTTTGACAGAAACATATTCTATAATCGCCAAGAATAACATTCCCTTCCACTAGATGGCCATGCAGGTGGCACAAAATCTGAGTTGAAGAGCGTGCAATTAGATTCGTTCCAACTGTAGCAACTAAGCCTGAGTAGGTTGTTGTTTTGGGGGGAAAAATACACCTGAGGCTCCATTTGACATTCCTCCAGAATCCTTCCCAGTAGAGATGATCTGCTGTGCTGACAAAATAGAGGAGATGGATATAGATGCCGGTAATTTGAAGATAATTTGAGAGGATTTAAGTCAGAATTGCAAAGCATCCTCCCACTCCCCCAAAAGACAGACATGACTTTTGCCTGATTTTTGAAATACTGACAGCAGCTTCTCAAGAAAAGTTTCAGAAACTAATGAGAATGAGCTGACATCAATATGTACATTCAACGGGGTACTGTCGAACATTTTCTGACAGGAATTGACAGGCTAGTTTCGTTGCATCTTGTGATGGTCAATGGAGATTGTGCTTCCATCAGGGAAGTGAATCAGCTGTGATTGTTCATACTTGACACTCGATCACCTGTCCTTGCTTTAAAAGCTTTATTTAAAAGCAAAGACCTCAGGGCCATTGGTATCCAATGTACTCCTTGCCAAGAAGGAGACTGCATGGTATTCATTTGGTACGATGCTCATCAAGAGCTCCTGATACTGTAGCGGGGGGCCCCTTAATCGTTATTACCCCCTCTTAATGCAAAATGATGAGCCAGGGATCAAGACGATGGTGGCTTTGAAGTGGCATACGTGTGGGGGCCCCTGGGTCGTGGCTGTAACTTGATGCATTTATCTTGGCTGATGCATGCCAACATTGCTTGACCTTGGGCACAGTCGATCCCCCAAAGATATTCCAGACATGCATACCAAAGTTTGTGTATTTGTTAACATCAAGAAACAAAGATGAAGTGTATGTCCTTTTTTTTCATTCAGTGTGTAACATTTGGAGGATGTGTGCCATCACAGTTTGCCATGGCTCACTTAACAATTATTGCCTACTGTGATGTGGGATGTGATGTGGAACATGATGTTTTAAAACCCAAGGGACCCAAAGCACCACCGATTTGCATAGAGGAGACAGTAAAGATCAAGACTAAAACAAGTGCAAATGGAGATATTCATTAATAAGTGCAAATGGGAATAGTTTCATCTCAAGCAACACACATTGTAATGGACAAACTTAAGGCTGAACTAGTCAAAGTGGAAGATACATGTATGTGATGTACATCTGCGAAAACCCTTCACTTGGTGAGCTTTGTCATTGAGTGCATATAACTTTCAAAATAATCAGATATATTACATTTATGATTTTAGGTTGGCTACAACATCAATCTAGGTTGTCTAGAAACATGCATTAAACAGTTTTGGGAACAGGACAGTGTCCAGATCTATTTGAAGTTGATATGTGCCAAAAGGACAAAACTCACCATGTGAAGGGTTTCGCAAATCACATCACACATTTTGTTGTCTCTTAGCTGATCTAGCTGAGCAAAAGATCGTCCCTGCTCAACAGTTTCTACACTCAGATCCATTGAATTCAAACCTTTTACTAAAAAGAAATGAGACATGTTCATCATGCCCTACTCACTTGATTGCTGCTTGTGGATTTTGTTAGTTCTACATTCAGAGTGCTTCAAAAAGTATTTGCTTCCAGGCTTTCCTCTTCTTCGATGGAATTCCAATTTCTCTATGTGTATTTGTTGTGGGAATAACATTGATTTTAAAGAAAAGAATTCCTCCCTGGTAACTCAGGCATCTAAAATTTGTCTACGGCCTGATGAGATACCATTTTGTTAGCGCAGGAGCCATGCATTTGCATTCTAACAGACTTCCTGTCCTCTCTTTTTATGCACCCATAGCAACCTGCTTCCATAGTGCAGTGATCTCCAGATATTCTTAATTCAGGACAAGAGTTGATTTTTTGATCCCCCCGGCCAAAGTTCTGGAGGAAGAAGACCAAGATCAGTGTATCAGTTGTGTGGGAAAAACAAGGATTTACCAATTTGGACAGAGCTAGCACCCCGACTTAGGAAAATGTTGAATTTGACTTCCAAAGAGTATGGTGAGATGTACCTGTATACATGTGTAATTTGCACAGGAGAAATGCAGAACTGGCCTGATGTTTCATCACATCATGGCACCAAGGATTTGATTCTAAAATTGCAGTCATGAGGCTAGACCAAGCTTTACGTAAATTCTGTGTGTGGCTTTCATCAGTATCAATCATTCCATTGATTCCAAGGTAATCAGATTATCACCAAGCATGATACTCTAGTTTGGGGAAATTACTGATTCTATCTCCTGGCAACCCCAAGAATTTGATCTAGGTCCCAAGTGCTGGATGCAGATTGATGATAGACAAATGTAACATGCTCAAGTTGGCCTGTTTCCTTTTCATTTCTGCTCTGCGTGCAAGTTAACTTTAACGTAGAGGCCTACATAATGTGCATGTACACGGCCTCATTGTTCGCTGTCTCATGGCAAATTAGTGGTTATATAGAAAATAATGACACTTTACTATAACTTATATGCTTTCCGACATAATGCACAGTATACCTACCTCCCCGAAAATCTTCAAAATTAGTTGCAATGATATGATTTTAAGAACATAGCAGTTTCGCTTAGCAAAAACAAGTCCAAGTACACAGTTTGGCTTTTGACATTTTTTGAGCTGATTTCAGCTTGGTATAGGAAGTTTCCCAGTGGTACTTCTCATGAACCAGCTCCAGCTAGAGGGAAATAGAAATAGTTGCAGTCATTTCCTGCCTTGGGGACGAACACCAGCCCCATGAGCAAAATATAACCTCCTAGGACAAAGTTGACTCTCTGCAAGATGAAAAGCCCGGCAAGTTTTATCAAAGCAACCGCCTTTGATCCGTCATAAATCAGTGTTGCTATGTGCTTTGAGAGCAAAAATATTGGCGAGCTCCATATTTGAATAATTGAAGAATGGTTATTGATGGCCAGCAGCATCGCCTCTTTTCTGATGGGCTGTTGGGCATATTTTATTCACAAATTTCTTGCCCTGTGGCCATAAAAGTTCTAGGATGTGATTAGACCAAGTAATTGCTTGTAAGTTAATTGCTTTGAAGGAAGACCGGTGCTCCTGAAGGGAATAGACAGAAGTTAATTAGGCGAGATCAGAGGATTTATACTATGGAAAGAGTCAAGGAGCAGTACATGTGGTTTCTGGGTCCAACTATATGCAGTAATCCCTGTAGGAGTACAGACCACTCTCATTTTGCTTACAACTTGTATGGGCAGCCAGAGTTTTTGCAGAAATATCACCTTTTGGTTGATTTTCGATTTTACTTCAGATTTGTTCAAATGAACATTTGTCCCAGTAATTTTAAATGGGGTTGTATTTTCATTTAGAATGTAGCAGTACGTGTATCATTATCTGCTGTTCTGAGAGCTGCATGGGATTTTTACACTGAATTGTACCGATCACTAACCATAGTTTTAGCAGCCACATGTAGGAAAAACATGACTGTGATATTAAAGCAGCAGATATACCCTATCTGGTTCGTAAGTGACTTCGTCACAAAGACAGACACGCCACGATTTGCAGGCTCCCATTGGACGATCGCAGAAGTTGCGTGTTAACTTCCGGTTCCATGATTCCACGTAAACAGCAATCAATGCATGTTACTCCATGTGCAGTGCACGTGTGCATTTGGCGTGGTTATTTTCCTACCTCCATGTTTAAACTTAAGTGACGTCACACTTACGAACCGGATGCTCTTGCACATTGAGAAAAACCTTTCACTCACTACATGTGCAGTAATGTAAACACTTCTTACCTCACTGGCCAAGGTATCTTGTCACGTCACTGTGTCCCACCTTTGTCCATCACAAATCCTTAAAGACTTGCATGTCTTTTCATTCACAAGTTGAGTCTCAAATTGAGCTGGGTTGAATGACGAAGAAGTACTGTTGTCACAGTCATTAGAAGAGCTGGCGACTGGAAGACTTGCAGTGGCCTCGTCTGGACACATGACTGCTGTGTCTCGTCAGAATGATCATCAACAACAGTACTGTGGATGATACAGCCATAGATGCATTTGCTATGTCCTCTGTATCCTTCTGGTTTCATATTTACACATACGCTTGTAATTCTGACCATGCAAGGACAGGGAACTACAAAATTCAGAGGGGCAGCAAAAGCAAAGTTTACCTACAGCATATATAGTTCCAAAACCATATTTTCGAAGATCCAATTCACAACAATTGGTATCACCAAGAGGAAGGCAAAATGGAGGCACTTTTAATTTTACTGTGGCATTGACGTGACGCGGTTTGTGCATGTTTTCCTTTCAATTTTCCACTCAACAAAACTGCTGAAGTTTTTAAGGACTGTCCTCAACCTCCCTTTAATATGAAATGGGCAAAACGTATTTGCTGTATTTTGAAAGTTTACCTCCTGTTTGCCCTTTCGAATTCAGGTTGCTGAACTGGGCAGTGGAGGAGACACATTCCCTCTGATGACAGACTCAGGACAGATCTTAGGAATGGTAATTATCTCATCTCTGCGCGTTTGGTCAGTGTCCAAACACACACATCACCTACTTCAATGCATCCTGTCCCATTCAGCCACGCGCGCTGTCAGTTAAAGTGCAGGTGGGTGCATTTTTACCTGACCATCCACACCAAGGAATATAAATAATGCTGAAATATGCATTAAAGTGACATGAAGATCAGGCAACTGACTAGGAAGAGGTAATTAAATATGACCATATTTCATCACAACATTTCACGGTTCCAAACCTGAAAAAAACTACTTTGAGAGTATTATAATGTCATTAACTACTTGTGCAGAGAATTTCCCAATAGAACGACACGTACATTGACCATTGCCTGAAGTAAATATGTTTATCAACTGAAATAGCCAATATAGCCAGGTTTTAATACATATATTTTAAAAAGAATTATCCAATCTCTTTGAGGGAATCAGGAACCAATTCGTAAAATATAACATGGTGTTTGTGGCAAAATTTTCAGATAAATTATTACTGTTTCCTACTTTGAAAAAGAGATAATTCCATTGTCTCCTTGGTCTTTCATAATGATACCCAATAATTCTGTGATTTGGGTTTGAATTGAGAGAAATTTGCATCGGTGAAAATCCATACTTTTGTGTGAGGGCAAGGATGCCAATTTCCCATGCATTCATTGGGTCATGATGTTACAAAGAGGCTTACATCGTAAGCCAAGTGCTTTCCTAACATAGTAGAGACTTGAACCCACAATCTGTTAGGTTTCCAAATATTTCATTATCCAACCAATCAGCTTATCCGGGTTTAACTGGCAAGTTGAATCCCAGTTTAGCAGTAGGCATTGTACACACCGCCTTCAATATCCTTTTGGTGGGAATTTTGTTCACGGTTGATAGTGCTATGTAAATTATGGTTTTGCAGATGTTCAAAAGGCAAAAGGTCATTTCCCCGTAATTGAACTCTGCATCACCCCTGAAGTTAATTTTGTACACTGCCTGTGCAGTAACTGGATACATTTTTAGGAGGCGTTCTGTAGAAATGTTGAGTCAACGCCAGCAGCATGGAGTGAAAGAAATAGGTGCGCATACCTATTCTGAAACCACGCGGATTGCTATGACAGTTTTTTTTTCCCCATCTTTCTTTCGACTCTTTGAGTAACTTGTTCCTGGACGAATTGATTATTCGAATGATGGTTTTCAATTTTACAAGATATCTCTGGAAACTCCCTTTCGAGATTCACCTTTGCAGTAAATAATCGTTTCTTTTTTTCTCAATTCTGATATGTGAATGCCAGGCACTGGCACTCTCGTTTGAGTAATTGAGGCCAGTTTGCACATAGCACAGTTGCGGCAAACGTCGCCCAGCTCGACCTTTGCAAAGTTTGCAGCGTCAGTTTTAGTTATGGTGTCAAAAATTATCATTTTATAACCGACATTCAGACAAACAGTTCATGAAACTGTTTTCCAAACGGTAATGACAACGCTCCCCATGGTCATGCACAAATCCATGCTCTCTGAAATTTCCTCCGGGTTTGACGCTCTTTACCAATCCTTTGGAGCCACGTAATTTGCTTTTGATGAAATGTTGATTAGAGTCAACAGTCCAGTTACACAAGCTGGTGCTGAACCCCGTATGCTGAGATTTGCTGGTGTAATTGAATTCCGCGCTCGATAATGTATTGCCGGATTTGGATCCCTCTCCCCCCTCTCTTTCCCGCTGTCCCTTCGGCAGGCCCTGAGGGGATGTCACAAGTCACGCAATCCGATCTTCGTGTCTGTCGGTCACCGAATTTCTCTTGAAACAGCCACTAAGCTTGCCCGGCGATGCTGCAGGTATAGAGTTGCTGAACCCGTCAGACAGGTAAAAATTGACATATTTTACTCTGTCTGAGCTGTGTCTATTCACTGTTTCATCAAGTTTGTGACTTTGCCAGAACTTTAACTACTGTAGCATCCAATGACTTCGGATGTTCAGAAGAAACTTCCTCGCTCGAGAGAAAAAAACTAACCCACATTGAAGGGAGAAAGACAGCGGTGCAGTACAACTAGTTTACTCAGACCACGGACTATTTGCTTAGTCTGCATACCCATTTGTGAGCACGTAAACTGCACATGTAATCGGCCCTGCGTAACTGCAGTGACGGTACGGACCTGCTCTGATGACCTTTAATCCGAAAAGAAAGTGCTTCGTAGAGCTGTGATTTTGTCGGTCAAAAGTCTGTCAAACCAGTAGTCAGGCTTAGGGCGGTAAACTGTGATGAACTGACTGACATTGTCTTTTGTCGGTTTTCTTTTCCAAAGCTTGTTACTGGACCTGAGACTAGATAAGACATGAGTGGCTTGGGATGACGTAGTTACAACTCAGGTGGCCAGTCTTCTTTTTTTAATAATAAGACTAGAAAAAAAGGGCAAATGGGATTGATTTTAAAAGAAACACTCTTGATACATTTATGAGAAAGAACATTAAGGTGTAAGTGTACAGTTTAAAAGTAAATTACCGGTACATTTATCAGGAATATAATAAGCACATTTAATAAGAATGTGTGATAGTAAGAGAAGAATCGTTAATTAAACTTCTGAAGACAAAAGCTAGAGCATACTGTTCAACAGTATGACTTCACTCTTTTTCCCCATAGCCACACATCTCATTGGACAGAAGTTCAAACGTTCATTGTACCTCCACTGTACCTTTACCGCTTATTGACTCACGGTCTCCAGCGTGGGAAATGTAGACTTCCTTATCGGCAATTAGGCACTGTGGCAGTGGGACCGGCGAATCACTTGTATCTATCCACCTGTTTGTGTCTCGACTCTGTGTACGTGCGTCACTGCGTGTTATTAAGTGGGAACTCGCTCGTGGGCCGCGCACTTCACTGTTCGGGCATCCCGATTTCATCGTTAGCAGGGCATCGGTTATGCTCGCCCTAATCATTGTTCACTCTCCCGATCGGCTCCATGGAGAGAAAGATGTGGGTATATACTTTCGAAGCGAACGAGAAATGCTACTTGTCCAAATTGTCACCAATTCTTCAAATTTTGTCTGCATCGTACTTTCCCAACACTGTGTGCGGACAATTAATTACTTGGTACCTGTATAGAGTAACTTATCTTACAACGTTAGGGTTAAATTAGTGTTGTTGTCAAAATGTATGCAAGATTTTCTATTTTCTGCTGCAAAATACATGTACGTGAAACACTTTTTTATGGAGCCACAAGGAATAAACTTTTACGAAACTATCCAAAGTATTTGCCAACTGAAGTTTCTGATGGACACTTTTTCCAGGTGGGTTTATCTTGAGCGCAAAACGGTGGAAAATTAGGGTCATCTTATGCCGACGCCAAACGGTGTTTCTGGGCCATTTTATTCTTTCCTCTGCAGGCCGATATTCGCTCGCGTGAGTTCCTCCGTGAAATGTACCCAGAGTCTTCCCCCGGCAAACGGCAGCCACAAGCCCCACGGTCCGAGCGTTACAAACAAACTCAGGACATGGCGCGCCCCTTTCCTGCAAACGAGGTCAGAGTAGGCGGGGCTAAAGGAAACATGTGCTTTCTTGATGACCATTCCGGACCGTCGGATGAAGAGTCACACTTCGACTGTTTATTTGGTCCTACTTGATCGAAGTCTTTATAAGGTATTTTGAACACAGAAATAAATATTTTTCAAAGATGAATCAAATTTTTAAAAAGAATTTCATACCAATCACTTCATGGTTTAACTTTTTATCTTTCAAACAAGCTCGTTGTTTACTTTCGAAAGTGTTCTCTTCTTGCGAGAAATTAAGGTTGCTGCTCTAACCCATAGACATCAATTTAGAAACCGAGGTTTTATGCCCTGCGGATATAATTTTATCGAATAATACCATTAATCCGACGTGAAAGCCTTTTGCGGTAATGCCCATATTCATTGCATTCTCGGTATAATGTTTTATATGAAATCAAATAGAGTCCCAGAGTAACACCGGTGAGTTAGCATTTCAAGAAGCACCCCTTAATAACATCTAAAGGTTTCATGTTTTTTGTTTGGTTTGATTTGGTTTTGAGTTAATTGAACATTAAAATCCAGGAGACCCAAGTGTGTTAGTTGAGGTCGTTAGGGTGTACTGACGACCTGCGATGTTGCCGCTGTGAACTCGCATTACGCATTATTGAGAAAGTGCGGTGTGGTTTTTACATTTCCCTCAGAAAAAGTGTTTGTCCTCTGGTGAGCCATCAGAAACAGGTTCTATGCGGGATTTTAAATGAGATTTGGAATCAGAAGCATGAAGTGGAAAGTGCCCCTGTGAGATTTAATGTGATATTTCCATCCAGTGCTTCGTCGATCATGTCGTTGCGTGATGTGCTTAGTATGGTGGCCATACGGTTTCCCTTAGGGGTAGATTGTATATAATATTTTATGAGGATTTTTTTTTCGGATTGGGAGAATAACACTTTCAGTGAACTCTTCAAATTTGGTGGGTCAAGAAACCCATGGTGGAAGTATTTCAAATATTTGGCATGAATCCGATTATTACCGTATTTTGAGACCAAAACCGGGAATGATTAGACTTTCCTCCCACAATATTTGCATGGGTGTGATCCGATTTGCCATATCATTATGTATCATTTTTGTTTTTGTTCGTGGTTATTTTGATGTTGCGAAATTGCTTTAGTTATGCAAACAACCACTGTTATAATGAACACTGCATTGGACTTAACGACAAGTTAAGTATAGAGTTTCATCGTGGCAGACGACCGCATATGTATAAGCATTTATCCTCGAAAGCCATTGTCCTGCATTACGTTGGTCATTACGGGTAGATTACTGCCTCGATTTAAGAACGTTATGGAGACAATTCCCCAAGGAACACTGTATTTCACTTGTGATATTTGAAGAGATAATCATCCCGGCAGACAGTCTTGCAGACGGATCACTGTAAGCTTCGATTCCTATTGACACAGGTGTGTATGTATTTGTGATTTATCATCTTCCTTTCCATTTCCAAAGTTTTCTTCCAATGGGTAGAATCTGTTTACTGACCTCGCTCTTTAATGGCTACTCGCTTGTGCAACAGAATATGAGGACGTTGGTAAATCAACAGACCGGTAACGTTTGGCTTTGCACGGTCTTGTCGATACGGCTGCACGTATTTGGAAAGCTGGCGAGTTTAAAAGTTCCGAACCTATGCGCTTCGAGCAGGAACAAACGAGGGCGTGTTTTTAAATGAAATTGACAATCCTTTGGTACGAAATCACCGCATAGGCGCGCTTTATGTGCATTTTATGCAGAGTACGCGCAACGAATGTATAATGGAATGCATGGTCCTTGCGTGCGCGCTGAACACATGCAGAACCCGGTTCGAAGCCTTCACTCGTCGCCCAGTGCCTGAACAGGGCGCTGGGAAGGGCTGATGGCCTTCCACCAACCTTGACTCCATGCGTGTGCATTCCTTCACTTGTCCCAGGTCGTGTAGAGTTCGAAAATGACGCTGTTTGGCTATTCAGAATGAATATACAAAAAGGTAAAGTCAATCGCATGCGTATTTCAAAAGCTACACGCTCGCGCCCCTGTATTCTCATGCACGCCATGCATGTGTAAATCTGCGTCGCGCGTAAACACTCTGACTAAAGTCTTAATTTAAATATCCCAAATAGTAGCATATTTGCATTTTACAATACCGGGGTTAGATCACGCAAGGCATAGTGGGGCCCAACGTTGCGTGGCGAGATCGTACCCATGGGAACGAGGTTGGCCTCGCACAGATTCTAGCAAAGGAACGTCACATGGGGTCACAGCTCACGCGCGCAGGGCATTCTGGGTAAATTTCTGCCAAGCGCGAGCTCGTTCAATGCGTTACACAAGCTGTGGTTATCAATTTGATATATTTTTCATTTTCTTTGTGCTGAAAATGTTCTCACTACACTTTAGGGAGCCATTCAATATTCCAACACTTGACACTATGCGCGTCAACACCATGCGCCTAGCGTTGTGTATTCGTCAAAGTCGCTTCCGGGGCGATTTGACGGCCGAACACAACGCTCACGTGTGCTATGTTAATGGCGTTGATTTTTGTGTCCGTGAAAGTTTAACGCATAAACGCATCGTGTACGCAACGCACCCAAAAACGTACAATGGGAAAGGCGCCTTTATTTGTTCATCCAAACTTGATCAAGATAACGAATGATTTGAAAGATATCGGCAAAAGAGACGTGATGAGTGATACTTAGTGAGAGGCTAATTACCACACTGTGATTGTTCCAAGGCCTTCTTTTTATTATATTCCCGACACTTTGCCTGTGCCAGACATTGCCATTGGTGAACCAAAATGTTTAAATAACGCTTCGCTAACAGGAAGTGATTACCTCGCAGTAACAGGTCGTGCACAGTGTAGCGAATCACATTGCAAAACCATCAACCCTTGGCGACGAGCAATTTGGAAGCGCTGATCTCTATACACTGGATAGGCAGGTGAGGAGTAACTGCCTATGTGTGAATTGAGGTGACCGCGCGGCCATCGTATGATATTCGGTCCATTCACTGAAGGGCATTCATGCATGGCGCTAAAGCCGGTGACTTGGAAAATGCCATTGTATTGAATAGCCTAACATGGCCGCGCAGTCGCTTCAATTCGCAGAGCAAAACTACCTGTACAGTGCATGGAGATCAGTGATTGGAAGCCTTCCTACCAGCCTGGCTTTCTTTTGCCGATGAGGGTGCACTTCAACTCAGCGCGGATACTCCGATTTTGTTAAGCACAAACCTGTAGGCTACAAAGCGTTGGCCTAATTACTGCTCCTGGGAAACCATTACTCCAATGCCCTATCACCACTACAAAGATCATTTGCATTGACGGTTTTGGATTATGATCTTTTTAATGCACGAGATTTGAAAGCGAAGGGCTTGGTGAATTTCTGACGTCATGGAAAGTCCATGTTGTGAAATTGCAAAAGTTGAACCCATGGCGCTTTTTCAGCGCAATTTTCTGCTTTGATCTTGGCCGAGTTGATGAACCCGTTTCGGGACATCAGATTTGCTTTGCATTTGCATCAAATTACGGTGTAAGTGTGCAAGGTAATTATTTGATGTCATGAAAAAAAATCACACTACGAGTTCGGAAAGGCTGGTTGACCTCTATTTTCTCTTTAATCAGAGTGAAGAAAAGTCTAATGAAGTATATAGTGCCTGGGCATATTGTAATTGAGCAAGATAATTATTGCAAAATAATTCGAAAATAACAATTTAAACATGCTTTTCAGTGTGGGACTCCCAATCGCATGGATTTCGAAGGAAATTGTTATTGCCGCAGATTACGTCAGTGACAAAGACACAGCTGGATTAGGCTGATGTAAGTTCCCTTAACGATAGGGAATTCAGAAGTGTTTACTAGGCGTGAACACAAATGCCTATCAGATCCCTTTCATGAAAACTAGTCTACCCGTGTAGGCCTAAAGCGCCCTCTGTCGATCATACGTGAAATGCAGACGTAGTTATTTATAGCAATCAGTGTAGTGTAAGAATTTTTGTTATGAAGGAAGCAGTGGCACGAAGTGCATCCAGAATCCGGTGACAGTTACTAGAGTTCAGTCGTTTTTCCAAGCAGTGCCCTTTTTTGCTCAATAATTTCAAATTTGTAAAAGGTTATCTCAAGGGTCAGTACTGTTTTTATTAAGACCATATTTTGAAAAAAGTATATATATTAAGATATTTTATACTGTAACATGCACGATACAACAAACTTTGCAAAGTTGGAGGTTATTCTTCTCAGTCATAGGTTTATTCGGTGCTGGTCATCAATCCTTCAATGTATCAAATGATACCAATGAAGTTAAATTTCTTAACCAAATTTGATGTAATTTTTAAAATTAATCTTTTAATTTATTGAACTCTTAAGTTCAAGTTTAATTCCATTTATGGTGTGTTTTATAGTATAATTCAGCTTATGCCTGTCATGTTTATGGAATAAACGGACGACACAAACCAACAATGTAATACACCACTGTGGTATTGTGTCGGTGTAGTTAACAGTTTTCCTTTCCCAGCAGTGCACGCTGTGTCTCGTGAGTAATTACGGTCACTTTTATGATTAGAGGTCTTGACCTCCTCGTTCTCATACGACAACTGACTGAACGCTACCTCGCCGGATGTTTGTTTTTGTTTTGTTTGGTAGCTTTTTTAATGATGGACAATGAAGCATATATTGCACAGTTTTTCTTCAAATTTTCAGTGTTTCGTATATGCAGTATTGTATAGTTGAGGCCAAGACCTGTCGTCGGAATTCTACTCACGCTTTTACACTTAGCACGTAAGTTCACCCATCCAAATCTATACCATGCAGACTCTCTATAGGCTAAGTTCAAATCAAGAACTGGCGTAGTATTAATAGTGCATGCTGAATAAGTCGGTACCGTATTGAGATACGAAGCAAAGGCGAAGCGATCGACCAAAAGAATGGTATGGATCAAGTATTGGCCCAGTAGAATAGATTGCTGTTTATGGGTACAGTGCAAGTCACTTGGTAGTTTTTAACTACGAGTAGCGATTCAGCCATTTTACTGAGTAAAATAATTAGACATATCGTTGGACCTCTTCGTAAGGCCATCTTGAATACTCTGCAGAGTGATTATATGTGTATCGCTCGAGCTAGTACCTTCCATAGAATCTAATCACCAAAGACTCGGATGTCAAACGGCCGATGGTTTCCTATGGCAAACACTGATGTTCCGCATACGCTTTGCTTAATATAGGTATTGCCATTTAAACCCACAAATCTATCTGACGTGCCATTTTTAGTACAAATTTACCCTGTGGTATAACTTTCCGAATAACAGCCCGTTTGGGCTTTATAGGTAGGCCTAATGTCTTTCGCACGAAATCACCCATCCGTCTGACGAATTTCCATCAACCTTCCAATCTGCAAACACGTTTTCCACTGATCACATCAGATAAATCTCTTTGACATTTCTGGAGGAACAATGTAGGGGTCCGCACAAAGGTTCTAGAGGGCTATCGGGGAGATTACAGTTTCGCCAGCACGCCTTTACCAGAGTCAGCCTGCTAACAAATTGGACTGGTGGAAAAAATAGGCACTTCGTTTTTGAAGCTATGAACGGTTTGCACACATAAAGACGTGAAATTCATATTCTCTTCACGTTTGGCTGCACGCTTTCCCTCACGGAAATGACAGATGTACTTTTCCACGCTTTGGTGGAAAGGAACAGCCTCCATGAAATCAAAAGCTGATGCGTGTTGTGCGACGTCCACACCCCTTTCTCTTCTCTCTCCTTGTTTGCCACCTTTTAATCTGATGTCTGTCGTATAAACCCTTCTTACCATGCCACACAAACCTTGTCATACAACAGCGTCGGTTGGAAATTCAGTCCGAACCTATGAGTGAACGTAGTTGTCCAGGGTTTTGCAGACTGTTTCACCGAGGCTTGGTTTGCCAGGTTTTCACCTTACCTTTACGGCTGACCGTCGGTCAGTAAATTCTTCTTTTCCTGTCTCCGTATATATATCTTTCTTTGTTTTTTTATAGTTTGCTAATACAATCAAGCTTGTCTTCTATTTCAAAATGCGTTTTACACTAAGTCTTGTATTTTGTACGCTGATTGGCTAATCTGCACTGACGGGCCTGCAGCGTCTTTTAACTCATCGCGCGTGCTTATGCCCGTCAGCGTGCCTTTGAGTGCCGTTTACAAAGAAATAGGAGGCAGAAAAATAGTTATGTGAGGATTCGATTCCACTATGCCAGCTGCGAGTTGGGAAAACTATGACCATGACAGGATTATTAGATACATTGCTGGAAAATCAACATCAGTGACGTCAATATCCGTTTTCTTCGTTTTTTAATGCCTAGGGTTCGGAAATACATTCATCGCCAAAGAGGAATTCCACCCAGACCCATCCAAAGCAAAAAACTGTAACTGGAAAATGTTTTTATAATCATTATGCAGCCTCAAAA